GAGCCCCCCGAGTATCCCGAGCTCAGGAGAAACAGCGAGCAACACCCTGATGCCCGATACAGCCATTGCTTTTCCTGCACAGAACTGGGCTCCAGTCACGCCGGACCGGCAGCCGAGGCCACACGAAGCTCCACTCCCACATTCCTCCCGTTTCCACACTACAGCGAGCGCCACGCCTGGGGTACAGTCAGCCGGGGCGACAGAAGTACTCACCCTCGCCGTCGGCTGCGGGTATAGAGAAGGGGTATTCCATCAAAGCTTTCAAAACCTCGGGGATGTCGCTGCAAACTCCCATCGTGATCTCACCGGCGGTCGACATGGCTGAAGACTTTCCCCCCAAAAAAAGTTTACTTCTATGAAAAAAACAAACAAACAATGAACTCTTTAAGTTTGAAACATCTAAAATCAAAGTCCGTAGAGTACTTCAAGGCGCTGTGCGACTCCTGGGCAGAAAGACAGCGCACAAGACCGCCTCGACGTCAGTGGGACGGGTGGAAAAAAAAAAAACCCCAGTTGAAAAGTTACTTAACTGGACTCGCCCTCCGCCACGCCCCCCTACTTGTTATAATCAGAGCTTGCGGCCAATGGGAGACGCGGGATTTCGTGTTCTCCTGAATATGTAATGAACCCCCTCCTGCGATTGGCGGGCGGGGGCCCCTCCCCTTGGCGGGGCCGAGCCAATCGGAGGGCGCGGGGGGCGGAGTCGGATTATCTAACTGCAAACAAACCGCGTGCCCGAGAGCCATGCCGGATGAGCGGCGGGTGGCGTGCGAGTCCCCCCGAGTTATGAAAGTTATGAAAGTCTACAGCGCAGATACACGCACTCTCAGCCTTTCAACCTCATAGGAGTTTGGGGTGGGGGGCTGGACTTTTTATCTTCAGAATCTGCGCGAAGAAAACAGCATCACGCAGGACATCTGGAAATAACACCATCTAATAAAAGGCTGGCTTGTTAGTCTGCTGGGGCTGTCTTTGAGCTCTCCTTCCATGACTGAGATATTGCTGTTGAGGTCTTGAATGAACTCATCCATTCCAGTGAATTAGCTCTCAGTATTGAACGCACTGCGGGGCGACAACGCCTGTGATCCGGCTCGTAACAGGTTAACCCTTGCTTCCGCGGAGGAAATGTTTTGAGGAACCGGCTGTAAAAAAAAAGGGCCCTTCAGAAAGATGGCGGCCCTGTTCCGCAGAGGAAGCGGCGAGGGGAGTGGTGTTCGCTCGAGAGCCCTGACCCGTCTCGGCGCCGTCACGGATCGGGCTCCCGCCGGCCAGCGGAGCCGGACAGCGGACAGAGCCGGAGGAGCGACGATCCAGCGCCAGTCTCGGCCCTGCTGGAGCCCGCGCGAGGGAGGAGAGACGAAAACGCCGGAGCCCCCAGAGGGGCACTTCCACCTTTTGCTCAACGCAGTGTTCAGTTAAGAGAAGTTTAAAAAATGGCTTCATTGACCGATGGATGATGTCATAAAAGCCACAGTCCTAAAGAACAGGCGATGTAATGGTGACGTAGCTCAGTGTACTTGGCGTGTTGTTCAGGACCATGTTCGGACGCCCCTGTACGTGAGGCTGAAGTGGGGAGCAGGGAGTCCCAGCTCAAGAGGATATCGAGGTCTACCTTAATCAGGGGTACTCCAGCCCTGGTCCTGGGGAGCCCCAGTCCAATTAGTTTCATAGGTCACCCTCAGAGGTCCTCAACCCTGGTCCGGGGGAGCCCCAGTCCAATTAGTTTCATAGGTCACCCTCAGAGGTCCTCAACCCTGGTCTGGGGGAGCCCCAGTCTAGCTCACCTTATAAGACACCCTAAAGCAGGGGTCTCCAGCCCTGCTCCTGGTCTTGGAGACCACCATCAATCACCAGCTACAGGTCTCTATAGATGAGGAAAACCAGTTTGAGAGACGTTTCAGTGGAGGGACCCCTGGTCCTGGAGGGGGGGAAGGGTAATCTTGAGCTTTGTTCCATATGATCTATTCATGAGTTAACTGAACCTGGATTCAGCCGATGAGCTGTTCCCAGAATTCAGAAGTTGACAATTTAAAGGACACCTAGCAGAAAAACCAAAATGACGCTGGCCTGGGGCTGGGGATCCCCCTTTTAATCCCTGAAGGAGACCCCGAGACTTGTGCAGAAGGGCTGGCTCTGTTGATTTATCTCGCCCCCCCCCCCCATCTCGAACCTTCCTCCCACGAGGCAGAGAGCCCCCTCCATCAGGGAGCCGAGCTCGGCGGGGGCCGGGGGGACCCCAGGCCAGCGCCTCGCAGGCCGGGTGAGCCCCGCTACCCTCTGGCTGTGCGGTGTGTGGTGGCGTGACTGACCCCAGCTCGTGAGGGAACCGCAGTGACCCCACCCTCTCCCTCACGCGGCCCCAGGACGAACCAGCACCAGCTCCTGCCCCCCCCGGCCCGCAGGGTCAGGGGTCGCCGCCGCCGCCCCTGCGTGCGGCGCTCTAATTACAGAGGCTCGTTCACACCTCCACCGCCGCCCCGGGCAACGACGCCACCCGACACCTGCACGCGAGGGCCAGGGCCGCGCTCCGGCTCCGCCGCACGTGCAGCACGCCGCTCGGAGCACGTGAGCGCCGCACTCCCCCGCCGGATCGGAGCCACTGGCCGCGCGGGGACCGCCCACACCCCTCCCTGCAGCAGGCGGGGCAGGAAGGGCGCCGAGAAGCGGGAGCGGCAGGCGCTTCTGTACGCAGAGGGGGGTGGGGGTGGGGAACGAGCCTCCCAGCCGTGATCGTGAAGCTTCTCTCGAGACGCGGCTCAGATGAATTAACTCCCACCCAGGCCAGGTGGGCCCCCGTGTCTCCTCTCCCTCGCGGCCTCTCCGTCGGCCTTCCTTCAGCTGCTGTGGAGCACTGCTCACCGAAGCACCGCCCAAACCCAGAGAAAAGGGGCAACGTTTTGGTGAAAAAGGCCAAGAGAAGAAGACTTTTAAAAAAGTTTATTTTATTTTTTTCCCCATTTTGTTTCACCCGGCGTTCTCCACATGCCGCCTCTTGAATCATACGACATCGATGAACATCTAGATTATTTATATAACGTGTGCTTACACACACACACCTCTAGGCTTTAATACAGAGAGAGCTCACATCTCCACGTTACTGGATTATAGAGTGGAGGCCGACTTCGCCGTCCGTTTTGAATGATTTTGTTTCTCCGAGACCGTCTCGCACCGCAGGAGCCTTTTCCGAAAAATGTTTTATTATAATTATTATTATTCTTGTGCTCCACGTGCTCGCGGGCCTCGATCCCGACAGTCCGCTGGCAGGAAACCGACACCGGCAGAACCATTCAAAACGAGCCAGCTGCTCGGCATCCCACTCATATCTATGTTCCTCTATAAGTGTTTAGGTATATATTCATATAAGTAGATATAGAGAAAGACAATATGTGTTTAAGGTATATTTTGAATAAGGCGCTATGCAGTCGTATATAAATATCTATGTATGACCTTGGCTATCGATAACAGCACACAACACCAAATTTCGGTGTTGGAATAGGACTACAGTCATTATGAGAGCTCAGAACTCTGAATCACATGGCATAATAATCAATAAGTATTACAATAATAACAACAGAAACATGATTGTTGTCTGTTTTTGCTGTCTACACACCTGACTGTACTTCTGTCCCTCTCCTCACACACTCCCCCTGAATTCACACACTGACACACTCCTGACTGGACTGGAGACACTGCTGTCCCTCTCCTCTCACACTGCCCCTGAATTCACACACTGACACACTCCTGACTGGACTGGAGACACTGCTGTCCGTCTCCTCTCACACTGACACACTCCTGACTGGACTGGAGACCCTGCTAGAGACACTGGGTCTAGCAGATGCCTGTGTCTCCACTCCAGTGGATGGTGAAAGAGTCTACCTCTAGCTTCAGTACAACTAACTCAACCCACGCTCTCAGGGCTGAAATCTGGCCCATCCGCGCCGCCTGTAACAAAACGAGCTCCAGTGTCAAAGCTGGACATCAGCCACCCATCTCCACCAGGTACAGCACAACCACTCGGCCGAAATAAAGAACACAACTTATTTCCCGTTCCTGAGCTGGTCCTCTTGCTCATTTCCCCACCTCTAAAGCATTTCGAAACGGACTTCCAGAAACCGCTGCCCAAGGAGGCACGCGGGCTCAGACACGGCCCTGTACCCTTCAGCCGAGAACGAAACCATCCGAACCAGCTCAGCACTGCCAGAAACACCCCTGTCTCCGAGTGCATACATAGATACCTGTATACTGTTATCATAAACTCGTAGATTCATGTACAGATACATAGATAGAGAGTTATAAATGGCAATTAACATATACGTATCAATAGCATATAAGTAGAAAAAAATCCATCCCTCAACAAAGCAACCTTCCAGATAATCACAGTCGACAGCCAATCACAGCACTGCTCTACCTCGCAGTGCTCGGCGCCGAGAACTGGGGCGCTCACACAGTCCTGGCACCCCGCTCCGTGGACGAGTGGGGCCCAGCTCCGGGCGGCCTGGCAGGACTGAGTGCAAAGAGCAGCAGGGGTGGGTGGGTCGTTGATCTATTGCGCCACCTGCTGCCAGCCCGGCTGCACTGCGCCCCCCAAAAAACCGCAGACGGCGGCGCCTTCCATCATTAACCAACAACACCATCGCTCCCAGTGAACCCCCGCAGGGAGGCAACACACTGCGACACTCTGCCATGGCAATACAGTTAATACAGCATAGCGTATAGCTCCATAACGAGTCACTATATAATCAATACGAGATTAGGTTAAGGTTGAATCAGGCTTAACAGCTAGGGTATCATTAATTATTAGTAAACTGATTTCTTTATCGATAATAGAAATATAATATATATAATGTCCCCTACAATAGCATTTGAAGACGAGAGCCTATTTAATTATGGCTGGGTATTGCCCATACTGTATATATTCCTGAATATACAGACATCATAAGAGGGTGCTCATCATCGTACACATCAGGGCTTTCACCTCCCGACACTAGGTTTCTCTTTTCAAGACCCGCGCGGCTCTCTGTCCCAGCGACCGTCCCGCCAGGACCGGCAGGACGGGGCACAACAACCCGATTTTCAGCGGACAAGCGGCCCCCCCCCCCTCCCTTGAAAACCGAGCAGAATAGGGCTTTTTATCATGAGCTGAGCCAGGAAAAATGCAGATCACCCAACGGTAAAATCTCACGTTTTTTTCTAAAGGTTCCATTACCAGTATCAGGCCTTTGCAACGGAACCGTTCGTATTTACAGAATGCATACGCATTGGTCATCACAGTGAAACCCTCTCACCCACTCCCCCGCCTCCCCCTACACACAGAATGGATCGGTCCGTTTCCCCTAGAACGCAGCAGCGCCGGTTGCTTCTAAGTTATCTTGGTAGGGGAGTACTCACATGGTCATGCCCCATGAGGCTGGTAGCTGCTCGTCAGCCACGGCTCATCTGAGCTCTCTCAGTTTCGGGTTCGAGCAGAGAGAGAGAGAAAGAGGGGGGGGAGGTTCACTCTGCGGCATTTCGAGTGTCAGATCCCGGCCTCTGAACTGTACCCCCAACTGTGAGGCCCGACCCGCGCAGAGACCCCAGCCCTGCGTCGCCGCAGGAGGAATTCCCTGTCCTGCGTTCGGGGTCAATGGGTGTTGGCGGATCCTGTCGGGGCAGGTGATCACGCGTCGAGAGACCCCGCGTGGCGATGATATCATCACCTTTGGGGACCGCAGGATCATGGGGAGACCTGGCGGACCTCAGGGGGTGACCCATCCCTGACCCTCTGGCACCCCGCCGGCCGCTGCGCCACTCAGAACCCACAACGGGCCGGCCCTTCCCAAAAACGCCAGCCGGTCCGCGATCAAACTGCGAAGCTGGACCAGGACAGAGCCTCAGCCTGGTTCCGGCGCCCCCGGACCGCGGGCCGTGGGACCTGTGACGGAGAACCAAGAGGTGCAGGCTCGAACCCGGGCTGGAAGCTACAGCAGCCCAGTTGGACTGCCTACAGCGCCCGAGGCTGTGCTTTAGCACACGGCGCCCCCTGCTGGCCACAGAGCAACAGCAAGTTTCACAACGCACCCTGTGTACCGCAAGCGAACCTAGGCAAACCCCAACTCTCTACGCACTTAGTACACCTCCGAACAGAGACCACAGCGGACCCCAACTCTCGGTATCACCCCTCTACATACAAAGTACGCCACTCAGCGAACCCCAACTCTCCTGTATCACCCCTCTACATACAAAGTACGCCACTCAGCGAACCCCAACTCTCCTGTATCACCCCTCTGCGCACAAAATACATCTCCAAAAAGAGAGACCACAATGAACCCCCTACAAATGTGGTACACAGAGCACCCCAAATTCTACCCCTCCACACACGAGGTACGCCCTCTATCGATACCCCAATTTCGCTTGTGCCCCCTGCCCCAGGGGCAGGTGGATCTCTGCTCGACGAGCGTTAACGAGGGCTGCGCTCTCACCTCGTTAATAAAAGCCGACCCCAGGCCCAACGCGAGACGGATGACCGGTGAGGAGCAAGGGGGAGCAGGCAGCACCCACAAATATTCCGGGGTCGCGGAATAAATATAACACCCTCCCGATCCTGGCTGGAAAACCCCATCTGGGTTCCCGGTCCTGCTGCCCACCGGAAGGGTCCGAACCTGTCGGAAAAAGAATTGGGGGTGCCCCCTAAAACCTGCGGGGCCACTGCCCCGCTGTGCCCCCCTGTACTGTGCCCCCCTGTACTGCGCCCCCCCGGCCTGACCTGCCCTGCCTCCCTGTTACTGCCCCTTGCTGCCTCGTACCACTCGTGGGGGAGAGGGGAGTTTGCTCTTTCAGGGTGCTGCCCCCCCCGACCCCCTGACCCCCCAATAGAGGACTGGAGTAGGGGGCCACAGAACTCTGAACCCCAGGAGGTCTGGGCGTGGCTCAGCACGCCCTGAAAATGAATCACTGTGGGGCCCTGGTCCTCCCCCTGAAGCACAGCCCCAAGTAAACCTTGGGAGACCTATAAAGGGCGAGACCTATAAAGGGGGTGCCCTGTGGGGTTGGCGTTTTTGGGGTGCTGGGGGGCTCTGTCTCTCCCCAGGAGGTGGTCACTCTGGCTCCCAGTGAATGCGAGCGAGGAGTGCCGAGAGACCGCCCGCGAACATCAGTGAGCCCCCCTCCCTCTCTCTCTCCGCCGAGCGCGATTTTCAGGGGGTACACGGTCCGGGGGCAGCGTGCGCTCGGGGGGGGGCGACCCGCTGTGGCTGTAGGGGCATCAGTCCTGGAGCAGGAAGTTGTACTTCCCGAAGTCGCAGTCAGAGGGCGCTATCAGCATGTCGTCCCGCGCCTTGGCCAGCTTCCTGCGCAGGAAGTCCCGCCTCTCCTCCCACTCGGCCAGCTCCTCGGCGCTGTGGGCGGAGTCGCAGCTCGCCCCCTCCGGACAGGACCCGCCCTCCATCCTGTCGGCACACAGAGGGGACCGTCAGAGGGCGGGGCAGGGCAGCGGCTCAGGGGGGAGAGCGAAGCAGTGACCGGTCCAGTGTCCAGCGGTATTACCTGCTGCAGAGGGAGA